AGAGAGAGAGAGAGAGAGAGAGAGAGAGAGAGAGAGAGAGAGAGAGAGAGAGAGAGAGAGAGAGAGGAACAACAAGGAGGGGAAAAAAAAGTAGTACCTGGTTGAATTGCCTGACGGATAAGTAGCCATCATTATCAGGGTCCGCCATCCTGAATACCTGGTCATTATTAGGAAAAAAAAGAGAAAGCGAGAGAGAAAAGAACTGGTCATGCACTCATTCGAAATAGTACTGGTACAGGTGATGGTCACACGTCACACACACGCACAGCATGTCACACGTGCAGAGACAAGTCACAGCATACGCACTGCAAGCAACTTACCGTGACAAGATAGATGAAGCAGTAAGGCTCAAAACAAACCGTTCCCACCGATGCATACCGCAAAGTCACAAACCCTCAGTGGGGGAACCCCTTAAGGAACCTCCAATCGATCCCCAACTTCCGTCAGCAAGGTCTATTGTCATAAATGACAACGGTAGACAAATAGTGTTAGGAAATAATTTTATTTTGTTATTTTTACGATTGCTTTCTTAAAGCGTTACGAGGGAATGTTATGAGGGACTGTTTGGGATGCTTATGGACAAACAGTGTGTGTGTGTTTGTGAAATAGGAGTGCCTGGTACTTGCGTCCATTCATATCAGCCCTATGCACCCCTTATTTGCATGAGGGAAAAGTGATCGATGGCCCCCCTTTCCCCCTTCGTTTGTGTGGAACTTGGCCCCCAAATGGGGCAAAGGTTATGATACACTGTAAAAAAAAAACTTTTGTTGTCATTTATGCACTCTGCGCCCGACTATTTGGCACATTGTGAAGGTGCTCACTTCGACAAAGAAGAGAGGGAAAGTACTTACACAGAAGACAGAAAGAAATTGTACACAAATGATTGTGTGTCTCCAAAGCAACCCATAGTGCTACACGCTAGGAACCCCACAGCATGCTGTGATACAATATGACCGTTCAATCCCACAGGTATGCAAGCAACCCCAACTTCACCATTCACATGACTTACATTGAAGCTGCTTGCAGTGTTGTAGTGAATAAATTGGAGAGCATCGATAGGCCAAATGTGCGAAGAGAAAAAAGAAAGAAAAGAAGTTTAAAGAACATATACCTTTTGATGCCATTTTTTCCCCCCAACTTCACCATTCCACAGATACAAAACAGACGTAATCGATACCACGTCGGTGCCAGAATTAGTGCTCTTATCACCTCTCCTAGCGGAGGGACTGTTTTTTTTTTTTTTTTTTTTTTTTTTTTTTGTGTAAAGAAAAAGCATGTGAAGTAATGGCTGACGATGGTGGCAACCAGTGAGTAGAAGCAGAAAAGAAGCACATTCCTCAAAATGTTTGCAAGGAGGGCGTCGCCATTGATTGTAGTACTTCGAAGTGTCTCTTATTCTCATTATGTCATACTTCAAAGAGTCTTGATCTCATCACTGAGCGCTCTGTTAGCGCTCTGTTAGCGCTAGTTAGCATGTCCATGCGAGCTTGTCCTGTAATCATGCTTTTTGTTTTCTTTTTTTTTTGTGTTGTTGTATGCATGGTCTCTTCAGCCTCATTGAGGAGAGAGCGGTGTTCCTTTTATTAATGCATGAGAAGACGGAAGCTGTCCACCTTGGGGTTTCATCGTAGTAAACACCGGACGGTTGTTCGGAGTAGTCTTCATCAGCAGTGGATGACAGGTCTCCTCTCCTAATGATGGCATCGATCATCAACGTTATCCGTCGTCTTTCAATGTTGACGATCCTATCACTGAGTGCACCACTGTAGGGCGCCATGCTACGTACTGGAAGTTCTCCATGCTATGAAACGGGGTAGGAAACGCACCACTGTAGGGCTCAACTTGCGATCTGATTAGGATAACAAAAAAAAGAGGTCACGAATGATGTCCTTGGGGCTGTCACAAGCCATCTGATCTTCCCATTGGTTGAGTACGACGACAGGCACCTCCCGAGGCCTACCTCCACTAAAGACCCTACTAACATCGACCAGGGGGAGAGTACGGCGACAGGCACCTCCCAAGGCCTAGCATCCAACCTCTGCTAAAGACCCTACTACTATCGACCAGGGGGAGCAAGCTGACTATCTCAGCTGGTTGGCACCAAGCGTGCCCCAGGTTGTTAGTGGGGATTGAACCCACAACCTCCTGACTGTCACTTGCGTGTCGAATCAACTGAGCTAAGCTGCTCGCTGAAAAACAACAGAACAAGAACGAAAAAAAAAGAGAAGGGCAACTTGAAGCAACATGCATCCCCTTGATTGTGAGAGAGAGCCATCCTTGCAGGGGTCCCCTGTAGAGGCTTAGGAGTAGTGGTAGTTAGGTAGTGAGAGGTGAAACTGAGAGAAGAATATAGCTTTTTTTTTTTTTTTAACACAGTCTCCGATCTATTCGTGGGGAGCATCGCGTGCTG